CCCAACCCCCACCCCCCGCACCATCTCCTTCTCTACACCAATACAAAGCAAAAACAAAATCTGGCTGCATGCTTTTTCCGAATTGGTTTGCATTAGGATTTTGCATAAGCTCAAGTTGAAGTTCTTGACATGAAAGCCTTAAGATTTTTTAGGACATTGAACTCTTCAAATCCAAGCAAAACCCGTTTCAATTCAACCATTTTTCGTCGCCTTTACTCAGCCCAACCTCAAGAAGACCACCCAACAAGCACTGGTCTTTCTTCCCCTGAAGAAGATGACACGTCATCATCCTCAGTCTTTGACAGTTCTCAATACGATGTGGGTGTTGGATTAAACAATGATGTTAATTCAGAAAACAGTGTAAGCAGCAGCTCCACTTGGGACGAGAAGTATAGGGAAAGAGTGAAAGATAAAGTCTTTGGTGAAAAAGACCCATCAGCGATTAAGAGTACAAGAATCTTGATTAAAGAAGAGGAGAAGAGAAGAAGAGCTGCTTTATTGGCTAGGAGTCTTCTAGAAGCTGCACTTGATGAAAAGGGAGATGAAGAAGATAAAGGGGATGATGAGGTGGTGAAGGAGGAAGATCAAATGTCATTGAGTGTTGGAATTATTGGAGCTCCTAATGTTGGCAAATCTTCATTGACCAATTACATGGTTCGACGTCTTTTCTGTATAAATTCCTGTGCTTTATAATTATTGGTGTTGTTGGTTATACGAGTATAGTGATGACTAATTTGCCAATGTTAGCTAAAATGTTAGATATATGAAGATGCAGGCTTAGAGTTTTCATTCTGCTTTCCTTATTTCAATGGAGATCCAAGCTAATTCAAAGAAGAAAGAAACCTATTGAAAGCTAGAAAAAGCACAAGGCTTTCCTGCTGAATGATATATTGGTGGTTAATGCTGATTAGGGCAAATGACGTGCTTTGGTACTTTTAGATTATTTTGTCTTCCTAAGTATATAAAATTTTGTACATACAATGAGGTTTTTCAAGCACGTGGTTCGATGACTCTTCTTGATAAATTTCCATGCTTTATTGTTGCTGTCGGTTATACGAGTATAGTGATGACTAATTTGCGAGTATTAGTGGTAATTGCTGATTAGGGCAATCATATGCTTAACAACTTTTTGCTTGTTCTGTTGCTGAAAATATATAAATTTGTTTATCATACAATTAGGATTTTCAAGTGCATAGTTCGGCGACTCATCTTGATAAATTTCCATGCTTTATCTTCGTTGTTGGTTATATGAGTATAGTGATGACTAATTTGCGAATATTGGTGGTCAATGCTGATTAGGACAATCATATGCTTAAGTACTTTTACCTTGTTCTGTTGCTGAACATATAATTTTTGAATAAAAACCTCAACTAGTATGAGATTGAGGCTTTGTTGCTGTTGTGTTCGCGATAGAGTATGCCCTATGAAACTGTTATAGCTCTTATTTTACCCCAAACAGAATGTTATTATGTTCTTATTGGCAACTAATCCCTGCAGTAGTCTTTTTGCTATATGGTTGTTGTCTGTCTTACCTCTTTTTCTTTCTGTAGGTTGGGACCAAAGTTTCTGCTGTATCACGGAAGACGAATACCACTATTCATGAAGTCTTAGGTGTGATGACTAAAGGAAAGACACAAATCGTAAGTGTACTTAGAATTACTAGGTTTCAGTTTCTCTCTTTTTCTCTGGTTGTTGACCTTCGTTCTTTTACTTAGCTTGAGATGCGTCTATTTGCCAAAATGAACTTTAGTCTCCAACATGACCATATATAAAGTTGTTAAACCATTTTTTGTCACATTTTGGTGACTAAATTTTACCCCCCTATGACACTGAAGTCACATAACTATTCTTTGTCACATTAAAGTAACTGAACCGTGTGTGAATCTCTCAGAAATACTAATGACCGGAAAGTCAAATTTTCGGCTCACAAATACAAATGACCGAAAGGTCAAATTTTCGACTTAGAAAATGCAATGACTGAAGAAAAAAACTCACCTTGTAAAAGTTTGACTACCCATATTTAAAACAAAAGACAAGTAATCAAATATTTAAAAAGAAATGATTACTTGGTTTTGGAAATTTAACGTTCCATTCATTTGTATTTTCTAAGCAATTCACACATAATTCACTAGAAACAGTTTTGAGATTTTATTGTTATAGTGAGTAAAGTTTAGTTACTTTGATGTGACAAAAAGATAATGTGACTTTACGAGGGTAAAGTTCAGTAACCACACGTGAAATTAACTCACTAATTGAACGAAAAAGTATTTTTCTTGGAGTAAGATTACAATCTCAGTTTCTTAGGATTAATAAATGTCAATAATTTGATTAAGCTGACACAAGCTTGATTCGGCCATCATTCTTTTTGAAAAGGGAATATTTACTCTTACAGTTACATCGAACGTCCTTTTTTTTTGGGAGAAATGATTGTACATCAAATGTCTTATTTACAGAACTTTTTATTTATTTTTCCTTTTTGAACAACTTTTATTTATTTAAAGAGAAGCCTTGCACAAAAGAGGAAAGAAGCAAACTGCAAAGTATGACTAATGGTGAAAAATGTCGGACCTCATGTGCTAATCTTGCAGGTTGAAGTATATTTTGTGCATCTAAAATATTGAGAAAAAAAGGAGTTATATTTTCTGGAGTAATCCTTTTCTTAGATGTCAAGGCCTTTTTAGGGATTGCTACATATTTGATGGATTCTTTTACAGTGTTTCTTTGATACTCCTGGGCTTATGCTAAAGAAAAGTGGATTTCCCTACAAGGACATGAAAGCACGTATTGAAAGTGCATGGAGGTCTATTAATCTATATGATGTACTGATTGTCATATTTGATGCTCATAGGCATCTTACCAAGTTAGTTTTTCTTCTTTACTTGACCCCAAAACTCCATCTTCTATATTTATTGTAATAACTATATGCTCCATCTCAAGATATTTTATATGCATATCTTTTATCAATAATTACCTGTGAGAAATAAGTTACTAATGGAAGGAAAAAAATTATGGCAAAATGTGCTTTACTTGTTTAGTATTGATATGTTTATTTCTAATCTTCAGATTTTCATTCGTTAGCCCGAGTTCGAAGAAAAAGGTAGATTTGGTTTTCCATTTCTTTAATGAAATGGAGATCTTGTTCCATACTGGCAGTCCTTACCCTAAAGATGCACACTTATTGGCTTGTATCTTTGGTCTAGATACCTCTCTGATTGGTGCATTAGCCCATATAAATTTTCAATCACTTTTTTGACCAGTAATAAAGCAAACAGTTCCCTGCATAATGTTGCATTCACCAATACCAATATAAGGTGCAAGTCAATTGACATTTTAAATTTGGTGCAGAGCTAAATGTTGTCACATAATATAGGGTGGAGAGAGTAGAATTTCTTTTTTTTTTTTGATAACCGTGGTGTCCGGGCCAGCTTGCGCGCACCTCGACTAATTTCACGGGATACCTGCCACCTCCCACCAGCAACAGGCACCAGGTAACTCTATCCACCAAGGCTTGGATAGATGGGAAGAAATCACCTAGTATTTGCCTCCGCTGGGATTTGAACCTGAGACCTCATGGTTCTCACCCACTTCATTGACCACTAGGCCACACCCTTGGATGCAGAGAGAGTAGAATTTCTTGATGATGATGCACATCATCTGACATGCTCCAACAAATGGGGCTTTTTTCCTCGCATATTTTTTCCCTCTGTAAATAAGATTTTTATTAATGAAACAGAAGTCATTTAGGAGTTGCATGCAAAGATTTGTCATTGCAGATTTCCATTTAAAAGCATTTCTTAAATCATTCAGAAGGATTTACCAATATGAAAGTAAACATATATGTTATTGGATTATAGCTTC